ATCAAAGAAAGAATGCATTAAAAAGCCTAGATTCAGAAGAAAAAAAAAGAAGTACGTAAATGTAAAACGATAATAAGTAATAAATATGTAATATTAGTGGAATTCACGCTTCTGTGTATTCGTTGTATCTTGTGTAATTGTATTGTTGCTAGCGGTACAATAAATACACATGCAACAACAACCACACACTCGTTCAGTTAAACTTACGCAAGATACAACGAATACACAAAAGCGCGAATTCCACTAATAACAAATCCAACTGTGAACATAAAATTACATGAACAAAAGTGGGAATAAAGATTACAAATAAACATTTAAAAATATACATATAACTCAATAAAAATTGCAAAATTAAAAAAAATGGCCTTTTATCTTTCGAAGAGTGTTAATGCCGAATTTCCATTTGTCATTTTTGCCATTTAATGCCTAGTGGAAATCCAGCATAAGAGTTATTTTGATATTTGTGGCCTAGTAATAATTGTATTGATCGAGGAAGTAGTATATAACTAATGCAAGTTATTGTTGTTTTCCACAACATCTTTTCATAAGAAATAGCCTCAAGCTCAATACAATCGTTAAGTACAGAGATGGGCAAAGTGGCTCCCAGGAGCTTTTTGCACTTAGGAGCCGGCTTGGCACATTTAGGTGGTAGATGAGGGATAACATCAAGGGCCAGCATGAAGGGTTGAGGAGCGTATTCAAATTTCTTGTACTCCGACTCTCATTACAGATATATATGAAGCTTTTAGGGCCGGTTGTTCAATGTCGGGTTATCACTACCACTACACTATCAACGATTTCGACATCATGCATGCAACATGTGATCGATCGATCGATTTGTGCTAATCAGACATTGAACAACCGGCCCTTAATGTATTTTGTGCATGCCTTTTACCCTGAGAACTGATTTAGCTCTTGCTCAGCACTTGCTGGCTCTTTGACGGCTTTAGGGCCGTTTACTCAATATATGGTTAACACTAATCTCCGTTTAAACATCATTATCGACGTGTTCGGACGTGTTTACCGGAGATTAGTGTTAACCAGACTTTGAGTAACCGGCCCTTAAGTGCCAAAAATCTGCCCATCCCTGCTTAAGTAAGTAGTATATTAAGAATGTTTTTTTTTTCTATCCTATCCTATTGAAAAGTTTAAACCCACTTGTAATTTTTTTTTTGTTAATTGCAAAATTCTCAGAAATATCTTAAATTGCTCCGAATTCGAGAATTTTATAAGGAATTTAGTCGGCTACCTTTCAGAACATTTTCATCCAAAAATTTCCGGAAAAAGAGTCATATGCCTAATGTACATACTTTAATTCGTCTTTATCCGATCCCTTGAGTATGTATAAGGAAAACGTTCATTTAGGACTATGGACTTCATAGAGGCCTGAAAAATCTTCTAGGTGGGAATTTATATTTTTCAGCTACGCCCAAGTTTTTACGTTACTGACCAATAAATATGAAAAATTTTTTTATTTTATGTCAGCATAAGCGATTGGTTTTTTTTTTATTCAAATACAAAATTTTAGAATTCTTTTATTGTCCATTGAGACGGAACAATTTTTTAAAGATATTAAAAAAGTGAAATTAAAACAGGATTTATAACAGCGTATAAATGTGTTTCAGTTGTTCACTTTTTTCATTTCAAACTAAAACATCACCACAACTGGTAACTGGTAATGAATGATTCATTTCATTGGCTTAACTTCCCGGCAATCAATACATTGTTGAGCATAGCGCTGCTATGAAGTTACTTAGTACTTTTTTTTTAGTTTGCAACTAATGAGAGCTATTCGTTTTGTCAATAGCGTTGTTTGGTTTGTTGCCCTGCATTACTTCGCATTCTATTGTCCTGTTGGCAGCTACTGCAAAAAAGCATCGACTTTGCTTTCCGTCCTACCTTAACTCCTTTAATGGTATTTTGTTAGATGCAAAATTTGTCCTACTTGTTAACTTCAAATTTGTTGCAGTGTTGGCGTAGCTGACTAGCAGGTAGTTGAATTCCATGGAAACTATTGAACTTTGTTTATTTTCTGCAAAAGTAGGTTTTCGATTTTGGCGTCCTGGAGTGTAAAGGAATTTTACTAAAATAGTAGAGTAAAAAAATTAAAATAAACTTTTAGGAGAATGGGTAGGTTTTCTAGTTGGACTAATATAAAACTTTTGGTGTTTGTGGGTGTGTTTATTAAAAACATTAATATTAATTCTTTACATATATCATTTACAATCGTGTTTTGCCTTTGGCAGTTTTTTTGTGACGCAATGAAGTGCTCGTGTACATCCAACATATGTATCTGCTAAACAGTGTGTAACAAAAAATATGTTTGTCTCGCGTTTGAAGTGTTCAGCTTTATGCAATGGTGCTCACTAATAATAATTTCAATAATTTATACTTCCTTTGGTGGGATATTATAGTGTTACGGTACGGTTACGGTATTTTTGATTCATTAGTAAGTTCAGAGAGCTATCTCGGTTGGCCCAGCTGTAGGCTGCCCGTTTCGTGTCACATATTGCGGGGATCTAGTGCCCGAAACCTCTTTAGACCTTTAAGTTATGAAAAACGTAACATCCCATGTGCAATTTTTCAAGTATCTGCAGAAAAGCAAAAATTATACGACGCCTTTGAACCGTACAAGCATGGTAAAGTAAGAGATCAAACTAGTTTATAAAAGTATAGCGACAGAGAACGCAGTTCCTGGCTTTGACTTTTTGTGAAATTTGGTACATACCTTTATTTCCGACGACAATACAATTATGTATATTCGAAATTATTGTATGTAAATCCAAGATGGCCGCCACCACACAATGGCGGATTACGTATTTTTCCCAACCCTATCAATATCGGTATCAAATTAAAAGACTTGACTAGTAGAATACAAGTTACTATCAAAAATGATTGGCACCGCAAAATCGCGTATCTAGGTATCTAATCAAAACAAAGGACTTTGTCAACTTAGGTTCGTCAACTTAGTTTAATGTATTGACTGTTTAAACTCCATGATCCGCCATTTTGTTTGGGACACCAAAAAAATATATAATCCGCCACATATTCAAGTAAGCTGTGCTATTAATGTAGTGTTGAAGAAGAATCCTCTTGCCTTGTTATTATTACTGTAGCGTAATAATATCACTGTAGAAACGCTTAAATGGCACACAAAAAACAAAACCAAGACACGTAAACTTAATTTTGGGTCGTAGATTACGGATCTATATCTGTTTTTTTAGACCAGTTAATTTCCCATGATATTTTCATTTTAAGTTTGCATTATGAATGAAAAAAAAATCAAACTTTAACATCAAAAATGTTACTCGCAGCAAAGTTGCAAATGGTCAAATGAAAATGCGCAATAATTTCTTTACAAAATGTCTCTATCCAATTTTATATGATTTGATTGTACATGGCGTATGAGTAACATTCTTTCCTAGTCATATTTCATAGAATAGAAATTATTACGTATTTTCATTTGACCATTTACAACTTTATTTATCAATCAATTTTCTTCGCTAATAGCTTGATGTTTTTGTAAAAGAACAGGCTTTAACACAAATCAAAAGAATTTACAAAAAAAATCTTTTATTTTTTTCCTGTTTAAGTTTGTATTTTTCATTAACAATGCAAGCTTAAAATGAAAATATCTTGCGAAAATTACCGGATTTAGAAAAACGGTATACAGGGCCGTAATCTACGTTCCAAAATTAAGTTTACGCGTTTCAGCATTTTTATGCGTCGTAATAAAGTTAGCAATAACAAGAATAAATTACCCATATTTATTTTCTATTTCATTCACTTCGAAATTTATTTATAGCAATTTAATTCTCGAACTCCTCCAATCAAGTAAACTTTTAACACTTTCAAATTTAATTACCTAATCCGGTACAATTTGAGCGATTTATTTTCACACTTGGTCTTCAACTTTGCTAATTAATTCATACACTCTTCAGCAAATTTCTACAATACCTTGAACAAAAATACAATACCACTTCCGAGTGCTTTTCACACTTCAAGAAGGAAATCCTTTGGCGGCACGGCATAGTTGAAACTAGCCAATGGGAAGTCAGTTAACGAAGCACTAATGTAAAAGTTTCGCCAAAGTAGTGAATGTTATGCGTGCCAAAAAGTAATGGTGTTAATGCTATTAGAAAAGTTTTTAAACTATGGCAGTGTGAAACCAAACACTTGAATGCATTGTAGAGGAAGTACCTAGAGAAAGAGCGAGGTGGGGGGCGGTTTGGAAGAAATTAAGGTTATAAAAAGTTAAGATCTCTATCATATAAATGTTAGTTATATGAATACTTTGCTGATGAGTTACTATATTAATTAAGGCCAGTATTTAGCTCTCAAGAAAGCGGTTAAGAAAAATATTGCTATTATTTTGTGTGTGTCTCTAATACCATGTTCTGACCGATATCGAAAACATGTTTTCGTTGCTAAAACTGGTTTTCGACCTAAAACATGTGTTTTCGTCCATGTAAAATCTGTCAAACGAAAACGAGTTTTCGCTGAAAACTACTTGAAAACTCACGTTACACTCATTCCAATCGGTGTCTTCACTAGTTTTTTTTCGATTATTTATCGAAGTGGAAGTCGTATTTTCTCATCTTTAATACGCTATTTCGTATTTATTTATTTATTTTATTTATTTATTGTTAATTGGCTGGCCAAACTAAAATAAGAATGAAAGTAAGAGGTTGCTAATGAAAAGAAAATGTGGGAAAAACATTTTGGTTTTGTATCTGTGTAGCAAAACTGCAATCAGCGGATGTAAGAAATGTCAACGAAAACACTAACAGCCGGTGTGAACAGCCTTCAGCCCACAATTCCAAAACTCGTTTTCAAAGTGTTTTCGTTGTCGGTCAGAACATGGTATAAGGAATTTTGACATCTGATTGTTCGCAGCCTGTGACAGCCTGTTGCCTCACACTCTCCTCAAGAAATAAAGGAACGGGCATATATGTATTTCTGTTGCAAACATGGCTTGTCTTGTGCTCTTTTTTCGCAAAAGGGTTTAGAAAACCGTAGTAGAAAGCGTAGCAAATTTCTTAAGAGCTGCGTACTGCCTTTAGGAAATTTGACTTAAGAAAATTTCTTAGCCATTTCTTGTACGTCATTTTATATGGAGTTTTTTTTCTTATCTTGAGGTCTGCATACTGGCCTTTAGTAAATACTGTATATGAATACGTGTCTGTATTAGGGTGTTTCTTTTGATATCAAATAATTAACAGTTTTTTAATAAATCGGCTTTCTTCGGATAAGTGTATCAAGTCGTTCTAGGGGAAGTATTTATTTTGGAAAGCATTTCCGGTATCCCATGTCAAACGTGGTTTTGAGACAGATCGGTTTCGGTGATGTGAATCTTCATTTTGATTGAGAAAGCTTAATTGATATTTCTTATATTTTTGGGAAAAGCTTTTATCTATTTAAAGAAGTAAATATAATATAAATATAAACATAAGTAAGTCAAATGAAATAATAACACATTGGTATTAAACAAAAAGAACATATTTATTAAAAACATCTTAATGTATTTAAAAGAGGGACTTAAGTTAGATTAGGTTAGGTTGGCTAGACACTGCATGGCTTCGCAGAAACCATTTAGGCTCATGGTGTTACCAGAAAAACTACGACCAAATTAAATAGCTGTCATCAATCATTAAGACATCCAAAACACCATAGTCAGAGCAGATAAGTTTGTCACTCGAAGTATCGACCGTGAATTGTTGGTCCAAAAGTTTTAAATAAAAAATGATTTTATGCCTGACGAAGTTCGCCGGCTCCGCTGGTTTAATTATAATTAGGACCGGGACAAAACCTTTACAAAAAAACAAATTGAAATTGGATTTCTATACTTGTGATCCAATTTAACCGTTATTTTATGACTTTTATTTTTTCGATCACAACATCGATCACACATAAAAAATAAAATATTTAAAAATATATGTTTAACAAGTAAGAAAGTCTAAGTTCGGGCGGGGCCGAACATTAAATACCCGGCGCAAGTATTACATATATGCCTTTTCACCTTTCCGAAAGCTACCGCTACATGGTAAGCCGGGGTGTATCAATTTTGAATAAATTAGCGTCCTTAAATTTCGAAGTATTGACGTTTCGAGCATTTCTAAAATTTACCGTTATATGAAAAGCCGTAATTTTAGTCCGATTTCAATAATTTTGAACGTTTTGCTTTTATGTGGCAAGCACAATAACCATACCGAGTTTGGTACAAATTGGTAGAACGGTTACCGANACGGATGCGTCCTACGCCCGAAAGAAGTACACGTACCAAGTTTCGTTACGATATCTTAATTTTTACTCGAGTTATCGTGTGCACAGACGGACAGACGGACGGACGGACGGACGGACGGACAGACAGTCACCGCTTAATCGATTTCTCTTTTCATCCTGATCATTTATGTATACATTTGTCTATATCTATCTCGATTCGTTTTGCCTGTTACAAACAACCGTTATGTGAACAAAGTTATAATACCCTTGTGCACAAGTGCGCTCGGGTATAAAAATTGTTGAGACTAAAAACAAAATGATTGTCGTAACGATTCCACATTTAAGAGGAGTAAATTTTCAAATAATATCCGCTTACATGTTTGTGGCATTCACAAATTGTCATAAATTTTTTTATGATAAAAGTATTTTTACTTAGTTCGCAAAAACCGCGTCAAATTTTATATGTTTTGAAATTTATGACATTATATATCTTCAAACTGAGTTGGTGATCTTCTCTATGAATTTTATCATTGTTACAAGCATATAGACATACGTGATATATAATAAAAAAGAGACCAAGTTTAATGTTAGCCAACTGGTTCACACTTAAATGCGTATGTAAATGCAATTATCATTTTCCCCTCTTTAAAAAAGAATAAAAATTATCTTTACATAAAAATCATGTCAAAAACCAAATTTTGTCACACCCTAAGGCGCACTCCAAATAACATAAAAAACTAACATATGTACATACATCGCATAAACTGGCAAGCGTACTTGCATGCCAACAAGTTTGTAAGTATTTTTGTTTATTAACAACAAAGTTTACATCCATATGAGCTTGATTGTGTGTACATATGCCCACGTCAAGTGAATAACGCTACAGCGTAAAGCCGAAATAGTCAAAAAAAATTAATTGATATGACTGCTATGTAGGCTGACTAGTTCGAAATCTTGGAATGTTCCCGCAATGTCAAAGCAAACATTTAAAAACCAGCACTATAATTGATAAATAAAGAAGCCAACATTTTTCTCTGCAGCTTCCTGACACTTCTCATCGTACCAGTTGTTCTTTCGGGCTCGCTGAAATTCGACTACTTTTTCGGCGGCGGTACTTATTGAGCGGGAAATGTGGTTCCATTGCTCGCATATGCCGGTTTGTTGAAGAGTGCTCTCTGAGAGCAGGTGTGAGGGTCGAGTAGCGAATGCATTGGCTGTCTGTTGTGATTGCAGCTTTTCGACGTTAAGCATTCCTTGCATATTAGGGCGCACATTTTTTGCTGTACAGAGGCTGGTGCGTATCTTGGCTGCAACAAGGTAGTGGTCTGAGTCGATGTATGGGCCTCGGAGTGTACGTACGTCTAAGCCGCTGGAAGCACGCCTTCCGTGTATTACAACATGATCGATTTAGTTTCTCGTTTTTCAATCTGGAGACAGCCACGTAGCTTGATGAATCTTTTTATGCTTGAACCTAGTACTGCGCACTACCATTTTTCGGGCACCGGCGAAGTCGACCAGCCTCAGTGCGTTGCCGGACGTTTCGTCGTGGAGGCTGAATTTTACGGCGGTGGTTCCAAAGATCCCTTTCTTCCTTATCTTCCGTCGGGGCATGGGCGCAACTGAGAAAAATGTTGAAGAATCTCGCTTTCATGCGAATTGTGGCTAGACGCTCGTCCACCGGGGACAGTACTCGGCGATGTAGTCTCTCTCCCACCACAAATCCAACTCCGAATTTGCGCTCCTTTACATGGCAGCTGTAGTAGACATCGCAAGGCCCAGGCATTGCTTGCCTTGCCACGTTCAATACATTTCTTGAATTTCGGTGATGTCAGCTTTTGTCCTTACGAGGACATCAACCAGCTGGGCAGAAGCACCTTCCCCATTAACGGTCCGGACATTCCAGGTGCAGGCCTCCAAATCGTAGTCCTTTAAACGTTTGCCGTGGTCGTCATCATAAGGGGGGTATCATCCGGGGCTTTGCCTTGCTTCTTCACTGGAAGTGGTTTTTGCGTGGCGGGTACCAAACCCAGCGCACAACCCTTTGCTGGGATGGCGGGGGTTTCGCAACCAAATACGCGTTTATATAGCGAGCCGCTTGCTCCAAGACAGACACCGGCTTGCAGTCGCACCTACTGGTGAACAGACACAGATGCAGATTTCAGTGAGCCCTCAAACCGAATAAGTCGGAGTGGCCCCACCGAAGCTCCCTCTCTTTCTGCCGTGACCCAACGCCCCACTCGGATTGGTTACGGCATCTCGCACATGGGTTGCTCACGTTGCTCAGAGTGCGCGAACGAGGGCGCAAGAGTCGGGCTTGAGTATAGCCATGCAACTATAATTGCATACCCAGCACAACAAATATACCCCATTGCGACTAGTACAGAATGAATATGAAAAAAATCTGGCGGCGCTACATATTGAACTAACTACTCTACCAGTTCAGAGCTTTCACTGCGGGGCATATGTATATGTATGTGGATAACGATATGCATATGAGCATATGTAAGCATGTATGTATGTAGTCATGTGATGGAATCAACAAATTAATAGTATTATTCAAACATGCTGATTGCATATTTTTAGGCGGTAATATTTGAGTGATGTATATTTTTCGTAGGTTGGTGGAGAGGTGCGAGATCGAGCTAATAAAATCATTTACCTCTACTGCCATTCAATCGTCACGCTATACAAATGTCTTCATATGGCTAAGTTAGCATTGTGATTTAAGGGAAAAGGAATTCCACTAAATGTAGTAGGCATTTTAAGCAGTTAAGTGAACTATATGTATGTATGTATGTATACAAAAATGTACGTTTGCAGCTGGCTAGACATGTAAATAGTTAGTACGACGACTAAGCGAGTATATTAAGGGTGGCACGACTCGACGCGAAAGGAAGTTAGATATCAATCAAGCGCACAAAAAACCAGGCAATATAAGCTCCAACTGTTTACGATTAGAAATACTAAATATTTATGCTCACATGCATATGAAAAAATTAGCATACATATGTATGTATGTAGTATATGTAAGTTTTTGTTTGCATGCCTGTGGGGTAGGGCATTGAAGTTTTGCCTTACTTTTATTGTGTAAAGCATATTGTCTGGTGTCTGTTGTCTGCTGTCTATCGTCATTATTGCATGATTGACGCGCATTTAGCTAACAGTTGGTATTGTTGTTGTTGTTGTTGTTGTCCGCTAACTTCATTGACTTGCCAATTTTTTGCATTTTTTTTTATCTACATGTTATTTTTTCATTCACTACGAAGTAGACCTTCCCAAAACTGTTTCCCCTTCTTATATGTATTTCACCCTCATAGTGGTAACGCAAACGGCTTCAAGTGTGAATACAGCAGGTCGAACCGTCAACGGCAAAAACGGCACTGCACGGCCATCTAATGGTACACGACAACAGGCAAAGTCACCTGTTCCCGCCGCAGGTGGTGGCGCTAGCGCTGGCAAGGGTAAGTCTACAAAGCTAACCAGCCGTTGTATATTGAGAACGGTTACCGCATTTCTGGCGAGCAGCAAGCGCAACTCCAGCAATGCACAACAGCGCGCCAAACAGACGAATAAGCGACGTCGCCAACGCAAGATGGACGAGTTGAGCGGTAAATTGAATCCCAAATTGTTGGAGAATTTACGTAAAAAGACAAAGTTTAGCAAGTGAGTTGAAAAGTGTTTAAATGTTGAATTACTATGTAAATTTGTTATTGTGCTCTCATATGTGGCATATCCGGTCGTTTGCTGGAAGAATATCTTAACACCATTAATCAAACAATGCCAGAAAAGTGGTTTTAAAGTTTTTAATTGGGCTTTCAAAAAGTATAATCTTGAAATTTATCAAACCTCACTTTGGTTTCTGACCTTCTTATTATATTTGCTAAACAAGGTGGAAATGAGTAAAGCTGCAAGGATAAAGCGTTTCTCCTTGTGAATTAAAATGTAAAGATAGCGTGACGATTTTTTTACACCACGTAAACGAAGGTCTGACGTTAAATTGTCTCTTTGGGATACTTCCAGCAAACGAGCGATATGCAATTACTTAAAGAAAAGGAGAAAGTATGCAAAAAGCGACAGCATTAAAAAAAATGCAAACAAAATCGAAAAGCATACTGGAAAATGTTGTTATCTCCCATTTGCTACAAGTTTATAATGACTCTTTGTTAAGCAATGTCGAGTCATGTCGTATGAGTAACTTTTAATTACTTGGTGATGAGTTAATGTAACGTATACGCCCCGGTAAATGCACGTTACTGCAATGAGATTTGTACGTGTGTAGTATTGAGTGTAAATTTGCTTTGAAACAGTTGATTTCTATCTAGTATTGAATTTTAATTTCAACATACATACATATCGTTACCTTAATTGACAAAGGCCCTAGCCAACATCTTTTTCGAAACTGCGTTTCTCACAGATTTTGGTAGAATGTATTAAAATAAACCTTCAATAAAAATTTTCCAGTGTTATTACCACAAACAACGGAGTTGCATGCCACTTTTTAAAAAGCTCTACCTGTTTTTGATACCGATTTTATAATGTTTGTTGCTTCTCCTGTAAAATCAAAAATTTGTTGGCTAGGGCCTTTGTGAATTTAGGTGACGATATGTAGCAATAACAAAGGATTTCAGTGCGTGCAATCTTTTCGATTCATTGCGAAAAGAAGGAGTGTTACCATTGACTGTAAAACAGTTTGTTTGCATAAGTCTGAGCTCATATACATACACTGGCAATCAAAAGTGAGTGCATGGTGTTTTTTGTTAGATATTTGCAATGTTTTTCAAGTTAAACTTTTTTAATTATTCTTTTTTATAATAAAATGGTTCATGTTTTAATCGAAGCTAAATAAGTCAAACTTTCTAACTTTATACAGAACGTAGAAAAATTCAACAAATTTTCATCTAAATTTTGAACTTTTTAATCTGAATTTTTAGAAAAATTTTGGTTTCGCAGATAGATCGGTTATGTAATTCTAGTTGATGTTGTCACACAAAGCGGAGGGACCTACAGTTTTACGCCGACTCCGAATGGCGATTGTATTTTTTATGAAAGCTGTTTTTCATGGCAGAAATACACTCGGAGGTTTGCCATTGTCTACCGAGGGGCGACCGCTGTTAAAAAAAAAAAACCCTTTTTTCTATATTTTTTTGTTGCGATGTAGCTTTGACCAGGGCTTGACCCAGGCGCTGCGAAGTGGTAGCGCGCACTGTTAACCACTACACCACAGCGGCGGTCGCTAGAAAAAACATGAACAAAAATTATTGAGGTAATATTCCTTTCATTTAGGCCATAAAAAGATAAATAATACATTTTTTGTTGTTTTCAACATTACTGTACACATTCAAAACCAAGCTCAATTGAAAGAGCACACCTTCTGCCATAATGGGAGCATTTTTTATATTACATAACGTTCTGTTGCGGGGTATAAGGATTTATATGAACGACCCGTGACCTTTACACGCTGCCTAATATTTTCAAAGAAACAAGCGAGTATGAGTATGAATAACTTTTAATCGTTAGGCTTTATTACAGACTCGTGAAAAATTCAATAAATTAAAACTTATTCAACTCTCTTATATGTTTATTTCTTTTTAAAGGGATGAAATAGATGCTTTATGTCGAATTTATCGTAAACTTATATCGAATAGTCAATATGCCGCAAAAACATTGGCGACCGGCAGTTCGAGTGCAGCAATTGTAAAGCCACATGCAACAGTCGAGGTAAGATTTGTATGTTTACGTATATGAGCAAATCTTACATTGGTCGAAAATGGAGGTAGGTACAGCTATCTCAGTTATCCCCAGTTTTGTATAGAGAACAAACGAAATTTTATTTTTTCACAGTATTCCCTATGCACATGTGTATTACTTTCTTCAGGTATACAACAATTTTAGAATGAATTTCGAGTGCGGCAATAAAATTGTAAAAATGGAATTTTAGTTTCTCACAGTCATCTTTTACTCAATGTATTTTTTTTTTTATTATTTGGTTACACACTAGTTATAATACACTAGATCCGTTCGTTTTGGCTAGAAGAACATTTTCGCCATTTAATTTTTACATTGTGAGGTATCTTATATTATTAAAATTTAAAAAATCGTTAAATTTCCAAAACTACAAAATAGCTGCGACAGATAGTTTACATGCTATCATTTTTCTTAATTACGTGGCACACTCTTGCAACTTCACAGATATGTTTTATTAGATGCCGACATCCATTGCCTTTAATACTTCCCAAAGTTATTAAAAAACAAACATTATGGTTTTTTTTTAATGGTAATGGAAAAATAAGGAATTTCGGTACTTTTTCGCCTAGGTAAACGTTTTAAGGTTAAAATTGTTCAAATACTTGATTTATTTTTTTTGTGCCTGTTTTTGGAACTCCATTGATTAAAAAAAATGGAAGAAGAATGGTTTAGCTTTTTTATGCCGAGAGTAGGAAGTGACACTAAAAAAAAAAACTCGTGGGATTTGCTCATATGTATGAATATGAAGCAGACTTACAAAAGCGGTAGCAGCACTGCGCCTCGTTCGGTCTTTGATCGCTTTGCTAATCAATAAATTCCAATGATTTTTTTATTTTCACATATTTACGTACAAAAAAAGTCGGTACGGCACTGTTTTTCCATCGGAAATGTAAAATTTATTACATTTTAAGACTTCGGCCAAAATATTGCAGACAAATAATAAGATTTACGTTACCTGCAAGAATCTAATTTGTTTTTATTGTTGTTAAAATTTCTTCACATTTTTATGCTGATCTTTTAAGCTTTAACTCTTCCATCTTTTTGGAAAAGATATTTTGAAAAAATAATTTTATTTATAAAAATCTCGATTTTTGGTACTATTTTAAAATCGGTCAAGCTCAAGTAGATAAATCTTAATTTTTTTCGAAATATTTTAGCGGAAGTCTTAAAATATAATAAATTTTATAATACCTATGTAAATTCGCAACTTTGTTTTTTGTGAGGCACCCTAATGTACATATACATATGTATTTTGTTTTTCTGCTCTCCCTTCCCCATTTGCAGGGTGTCGATCGCATCGTCTTCCGCGAATTGCTGCACAGCACTTTCGATATTGTCACCGAAGAAATTTTAATGGAACGCATATTTTGTTGTTGGGATCGCGCTCACGAAGGTTTGCCATTGCGCTTGGATGGTTGGTTGACAGGCTTGTCGATTTTTCTGCGTGGTTCGCTAGCTGAGCGCGCTAACTTTTGCTTTCGTGTCTATGACTTGAACGGTGATGGCTTTATAACGAAAGATGAAATGTTTACGCTGTTGCGTAATTGTCTCATCAAACAGCCACAGGATGAGGATCCGGATGAAGGTGTTAAAGATTTGGTGGAGATCGTCTTGAAGAAATTCGATTTGGATAAGGATGGCAAGGTAGGAAAGAAGTGTTTTGATATCTTAAGTCGTTTAGTCGTTTCTTTGTTGTTTAATTTGAATTTACATATGTAT